AAGTGATAAATTAGAAATTTAGACACTAACTGCTCTGAATGCAGTGTGAAAAATAGATTGAATGAGACAAGAAAGAGGCAGAAAATCCAGTTAGGAGTTTTGATTTCATTGTATTAGAGGAATTCAAGGAGAAGGATTCAAGTTTTTAGGAGATGAAATTAACGTAACTTGTTAACAGATCAGATGAGGCATGAGGGAGAACAGAAGTTGAGGATGAAGCCTGATGTCTAGCATGATGTTCAGGGTAAAGGGCAGCAGAATTTACTGAGATGGGAAACACAAGCAGAAGAACAGTTTTATGCAAAGTAAAGATAAGTTCAGTTCGGGCCTCCTGAGAGCAAGACATCTGTGGGATTGTGCCTAAGGAGTTGTCCAGAAGGAAGCTGAATCTCAGGAAAGAGCAGGCTATAAGGTGACCAAACTTCTTGATCTGCCATAATGGGTTTTCCTGCAGGACTTTCAGTTCTGAAATAAAAAAACTTTGGGCAAACAGGGATGAGTTGGTTATCCTACAAACTATAAATATAGATTTGAGAATCATCAGCATATGATATTGTGGAGGTACAGGGAATATCCCAAAGTCACTATCACTATCTGAGTGCATTTTCTTTTAGCACACAATACAATAATTTGCAACTTGCATCACCACTAAGATCTTGTATATAACATTTTATATATGAGATTTTGTCTTGCATTTAAAAACTTATATGTTACATACAATTTTATATGCAATATTTTATCTTAATAAAATTTAAAACTCCATAGAAATGACATATCAATTTTTTTTTCTTTCCAGAGAATCCAGTTCAGGATATTACAACTAAACTTTATTAAATGGAATTGACTAGTTGATTCAGAAAGTTAAACCATAGAAGATACCTATTGAGAAAGAAACAGATAAAAGAAAGAATAACACGTGCCATGTACTTCAGAATTGTTCTGATTTTTGGTCAAAGGCTTCTGTAAGGACTATAGATATAAGAGTACACAGAATGAAATATTTTTCATTATAAACAAAGGGCTTTCCACATTTTGTTTTAATCAGCCACTGAGAGTTGATAGTTTTCTTTTTGCAGGCAGTCGTATTCAGAACAAATCTTTTTCTCAAGATATAACCAAAAATAGAACGATGAAAACATCAAGAATAAAATAGTTTCATAATTGTGAAGAGTAAACAGATGCACTATGACAATGTTAGGAAAAAATTCAAAGGTTAACTGATGAACTTTAATCAAACTTGTCTTTCAAAGTTTTCAGTCCTAACGCCAAAGCTCTACATTTTGTAGCTATAATTATTAGTTGTATTACAAACACTCCTGAACCCACAATTCTGGGTTGAAATCATTATGTTTCTGAGTTTAGAAGAGTAAAGCTCAAACAGCCCACTCTCATCTGTTGCAGATGGCACAATTTCTTGTTTTTGTTGTGATAGCTCTGCTGAGATTTGGTGCTGACATTTTATCTTTGTATTAACATTTACATTTTTTAAAAAATAATTCAATCCTCACTAAAAACTTATGAGCTAGGTATCATTCCCACTATACAGAAGCGTACCTTCAGGGAATGTTTGAGACATATGCAAATATAATAACAATGATTAAAAACTACTATTTATTAAGGATCTATAATACACCAAACAGTGTGCTAGATTCCATGCATGTATCAGTTATACCCTGGTGTGAGTAGTGTAGATAATATTTGAACTAACACCAAACAATATGCACCTATATGATCCTATATTTATTATTTATCTGCTTTGAAGTAGTCAGTGTAAAGAATACACACACACAATTATAGTGACATTTACACAAAAATCTTACCAACCTCTCTACAGATGCTTTCTCTCCAGTTACAATGGAAGATGCACACAAGTTTTTCTCAAATTGTCCTTGGGATCCTACCTCTGTTTGCCTAATCAGGGGCTTTGCTTTTGCCACTACACTCTTCTGCATTATCAACTTCTCTCCTCTCCTCAATCTTCCTGCCAGAAACATACATTGTTGTTTCCATACCTCTCTAGTTACGACTACGTTCTCTGCTCCCTTTTAAAGCAAAACTGCTCAAAAGAGCTGTGTAAATTCAGATTCTCCTTTTTTTCACCTCTGGTTATCTTCAACCATCTCCAGTTGGGATTCAAACTCCACCCTTCATGAAATGGTTCCAGTTAAGGTCATCATTGGCCTCTGTCTTGTCAAATAAAATGGCAGCATTGTAATTGATGTCTCAGCAATATTCAGCAGAGTTCAATCCTTCTTTCCTGTAATACATTTATCTCTTGATTTATATGACATTATTAATTGATTGATTGATTTTAACTAATATTTATCGGTTGCCTTTGTGCCAGGAACTGTTCCAGGTTATCCCTCCCCCCCCAAAAAAAGGCCTCATTGGGAACACAGGCAATAATATTGTCAAATAAGTGAATAAATAAAATTTATAGTGCATCAGATATTGCTACATGCTATGGAAAAATGAAGCAGGAAAGGGAAATAAGGAAAGTTGGGAGAGAGAGGGACTGCCATTTTAAATAAGTTGTTCAGGGAAGACCTCACTAGTGGGGTGGTATTCCAGCAAAGAACCTGAAAGTGAAGAAACATGTTAATTATGGGTGATGAGCATTTCAGCAGAGGAAGCAGTCAGCAGACCATACTGAAGAGGGAGAGGGCCAGACGTGCTTGGGGGACAGCAACAAGTCCAGGGTGGCAGAAGCAGAGTGAATAAGGGAAAGAGAAACAGTAAGACCAGAGAGAGAGAGAAAGGCACGAACTGTCAAAGACCTGGGGGCATAGAAAGAGGTTGATTTTAAATCCATATGAGATAGAGACCACTAGCAAGATTTTGAGCAGAGAACATACATCATTTGTCTGTTGTGTTTCAGAATCACCTGGCCCCTTGATCAGAGAGGGTAGAAACAGGGAAGCTATTCTAGCAACTCAGGCAAGAGATGGAGGAGGCTTGGACAAGAGTGGAAGCAATGAATGGATTGACAAGTGGTAAAAGCCTGGATCTATTTTGAAAAGAGAAGTGAATAAAGTCTTGTTGCTTTGTTTGTTTGTTTGTTTTTTAATTCCCTCACTACCTGTTCCTTCTCAATTACCTTTGCTGACCTATATTCCTCTCAACCTCTAAACGTCCACATGTTCAGACTTCAGTCTTAGTTCTTCTCTTTTCTATCTACAGTCCTACTTTACATTATCTCATCTTGTTCAGCAATATTAAATAGCACCTACCTACTGACTACCCTACCACCCCAGATTTTGATGTATCCTTTGAAGTCCAAGCTCATATAGTTATCAGTTAATATCTACCACGTGCATATCTAACATAAATACCCAACCTAACATATTCACAACACAATTGTCAATTCTTACCCTATGTCCCCAATCTCATCCTTTAGTCTTTTCTATGTAAGTAATTTATTCAGTTACTTAGTCCAGAAACCTGAGTTTAATGTAATTTTGATTTCATCTTTGTACCTCACACCATCATACCCTGTATACCAGGAAGGCCTTGGGGAATATATATATATATAGTTCATATATATATACACACATATATATATATACACACACATATATATATACATATATATATAGGAAAGGGATAGATTTGTGATTGATAGATGCATTGATCACAAATAGATCCTCTTCTCTTTAATATCCCCCCACTTTTGTCTTATCTAGCATCATTTTTCACCCAAACTACTGCAGTATTCCCCAGCTGGTGTCCCAGATTCTATTCTTACCTGCCCAATCTACTTTTTACACAGCATCTACTATGAAATGCTGTTGCTGCCCTGCTTAAAATTCCTAAATGGTTTCTACATGTTTTTGCAGTGTAGTCCCCCCCCATCATTTGCTTATCTCTTTAATCTTATCGCAGACTGTACTCCCCAGTTTTTTGTGCTCAAACCACATTGGTCTTCTTTCTCTTCCTGCAGTGCAATAATCTTATTCTCGATTTAGGGCCTTTGCATCCACCATTCACTCTGCATGAAATATTCTTGCCTCAGATTTTTGCACGACTGGCCTCTTCTTGGTCAAACTCCAATTCAAACACCACCTCCTCAAGAAGCCTTATCTGATAATTTTAACTATGCTCTCCCACCTCCAACCCCCAAATACTCTCTATTCCATTATTATCTCAGCATAATTTACCCCTATATGAAATTATGTGAATCAATGGCTTACTGTTTTTCTTCCCCTACTAGGATAGCTTTATAAGAACAATGTTTGTTGTTTGTGTTCACTGCTGTACTTCTATGACTGAAACAGTGCTGTGCATGTAGTAGGCACACAGTACATATTTATTTTAAGAATATATGAATAAATATTACTCAATCTATTTATATACCATAAGGAAGATTATGAGACATGAGCTACAATTTTAAAACCAGGAGTTAAGTAGGAGAACATAACTTGGCAGGTCAGTTACTAAAATGAACTTTAAGCTCCCTTGACTCTGTTAACACCCCTTCTGCCAGATGTATACTGAAGTGTTCTTTGGGTCAGAATTGCTTTCAGACTAACTGTTGTAGATCTGGCCAGTTGTGCTCTTGCTTCAAAGCTGATGCTGGTCAACTCTCTCTAATTTTGTCTGATGTCAGTGGAACCTGAAGAATAAGGAGTGAATCACAGAAGCCACCTAACTTTGGAGACTCCCTGTATTTCCTATATATAACATTGCAAAGGACAGTGCCGTGAGAGACAGACTGGGCCCTGAAGTCTGTGACTCTCAGACCACAAGAGTCACACTAAATGTATTTCTTTAGCTTACTTTGAGTTCTCTATATTTTCATAACTCGTAAAGAGACCAGTTTGAATATTAAACAGAAACATAAAATGGATAGTCAACTGCCTTGTATAGCAAACTGCTCTATTTAAGTGACTGTTTTACCATCCTTCTCCTTTTGTCTGATTGTTAGGGAACACTGGAAGTATACTGGGCCACTGAGACAGCTGGGAAACTTTGTGAGGTTGAATAAATCCAATTTTAATGTCTTGGCTTTAAGCTTATATCCTCAAAATATATTTGTTCTCATGTTAATCTGTTTAATCCCATTGAGACTAGAATTTCTTTTCTCTATTAATTACCAAAAGTTTTTACTGTGAGATTTTCTATTGTTCTCAAAAAGTTTGTTGTTGTTTTGCTTTTAATGAAGTGGAGAGAATAAACACCCATGCCAATTTCTAAATGCTCAATACAGTATTCTAGTTGAGTGTCCATAGTGTTCAAGCACTTTGTTTAGAAATATTTTAATGTGAAAACATTTCACAAACTGTAAATTCCAAGTTAGTTATTACTAAGTGAGCCATGCAAGTTATCGAAGGCTTTAATTAGATAAACTAGTTTATTTCTCTTAACCTCTTCAGTTGTTGACTGTCAATTTTGAGGAAAAATCTGCAGCCAGATCTTTTCAATCTGCCTCTCATTTACTACAAACTACAATCACATACTTTTTGAAAAAGTATGGCTACCATCAGGTCCCGTAGTTTCTGTGACTGTTTTTGTCTGATCAAGGAAGAACTGGCATATGTTTACTGTTGGACAACAGTAGGAATTCCTGTCTTACTGTTAGTTTTCCAGGCACTTGCTCTGCTGTTGTCATTTATAGCTAAAGCAATTTCACACAAAACTGAAATGAGTCACTCCTCTTGCTTTCTGTTAAAGATTACTAGTTTTCAACTTATCTAGAGTTTTCAACTCTACTTAGATGACTTATTTTTTCGAACAGGTTTTCGCTTGACCAAGTATTTGGACATTCATATTAGCACAAAACAATTATAACATTGCTACATTTTCATTTCTGAAGACTAAGCATGTAATTTACTCTTTTGTGTTCCTGTAGATTAATGAGTACATTCCTGGAGTACAAAACTACTTATAGACGCCCAAATAAAAGTAACTGTCTATAACAAAAACATTTTACGTATGTGTTTTTTAAACATGCCACTATTTTTAAAATGGTAAGATTTAAGATTATAGGAAACTGAGCATTATTCTTTGAAAGAAAGTAATCTAAATCCAAGGCCAAGATTTAATGGAGCTGTGACTATGAAGACCAGATATAGGATGGGAGGAAGAAGTGTGGGTGAAATTTGCCTCTAATTTAAAAAAAAAGTATAAGGTATTCCCTAGTGATTGAAAAAAAGGAACTTATAGGATTTTTATACCCACTAAAAGTACCACATTACTCTTTTTTTTTTTCTTTCCATAAGATGAGATAAGGAAATGTATATACACAGGAAACTTGAAAAAGTAAATATTTTGGCACTTGATCAATTATAAGCAGAAAATTGTCAGGCTTTCCTGTTCAAATAAAACCTAAGATCACATATACCTTCCTACAACTTCCTTAAGTGCTCTTCAAGTTGTGCACGCTTTCCGGCCTGTTTAGTTATGTGTTTATTCTCCTCCTCATCTTTCACAAAATTAATCACTGAACCTGCATGAGGTCAACTCATACACAAGAGTTACTATTGTGAAGTCTTTGAAACTACAGGTAATTAATTATACCCTCTTTCTGAGAAAATCTGAATAATATGCAAACTTTTTTACTTGACTAAACTCAAGGCATAAAACAAATTCAATTAGGCTTAGATAAGTGATTCAATCCATTTTTGGTGTTTACACATGTGCTCAAATGATTTATTCATTGACAACTCTATTTGGTAGGTGTTGCAATTGTATCACTATAAGGCTTTTTTTTTTTAAGTTCCTAAAGTAGAAGGGTTCACTCAGTGTTCCTACATTTGATGCAGAAATATTTGGGAAGGGATGGTTTGAAGCAGTATCTCCAAATTCAGTGCACATAACAAGGTAGAGATGAAGGGAAACAACAAATGTGTATCATCTCTTTAAGATCAAAGTGGTAACATTTGCCAGGATTTATAAGAGTTGGGACAATTTTCTCTGAAGGTGTTGATCTTAGGCAGCTAAAAATAAATCAATGAATGGAAAACCTCACACAATTAGAGATTTTGCTGCGATCCTTACAAATATTCTACTTTCTCTGAACGACAGCTCAGAAGAGTGAGTAGACATAATTTGAAGGCATAGCCTTCTGAAGATTCTGAGATGTCTTTTCTAGAATGGATTTGCTTGATCTTCTTGCTCAATCACCTTCTCAACCCTCTTTATCTTTTTTTTGACTAATAAGCTGATTTGGGTAGAATTGACCAAATTTAAGGAATTCTAGAAAACAACTAGAAGAAAACAGTCTAGGAGCTAGGCAAAAATGAATAAAAACTAAGAAGAGAAGAAGGGAAGAGAGGAAAGGGAAGTGATGAAAAAGAATATATAAAGTCAGGAGCAAAACATCTCTACATCAAAACAATTATGCCAGGCAACAAACAAAGACATATTCATGATCTCAAAGAACTAATTAAAAACCCGGTTTATTTGAATAACAAGATCAAAGAAGATATATATGCAAAAATAAATAAAGAGATGAATGTAAATTGGCAGATCAATTTAGATACATTTTAGAAATGCAACCAAAAATTAAAATAGACAATACTAAAAACACATTTGGGAACATGGAGGAGGCAAGCTAATCTTAAAGCAAAATAAAATGCCGAGTTTATAAAAGTTTAAAGGGATTAGAAAAAAAAGAATAGATATGGAGGACAGATACAGGATATGAAAATTCACTTATATATTGCAACTGAAAATAGAAAACATTGGAACTGAAAATGTGATACAACAAAATCTGAGTACCAAAGGGTACATTATAGCTGAGAAATAAGTGACACAGAATAATCAACATTTAGTTACATATTTGTAAAATTCCTGAGATTTGAATTTTTTAAAAATCCAATTTTTTTTTCAAAGCTACATACGGAGCCTAAAAATGAAGCTGCTTTTGAACTTTTCAATATCAACATTCATTATTAGAAGATGGTAATGCACTGTTAAACAAGAATCCAGCAATGAAAATAAGATTCAATAATTTTATATTAAATCAAGTCATTGCTTAAGAATAAAGGTAAAAAGAAAATAGTTTCAAATATACAAGAACGCACAACAATAATGATACTATCAGGACAATGACATTTGACCTCTTGATAGTTGACTAGAGAAAACAAGAAAAAAAATTGGAAATGAATATTGAATTCACTAAAATACAGAAATAAAGCTAAACAATTATGAACATTTTGATTGTAGGATAAAATGTGATTACTCTTAACCAAAAACATAGAGAAAATCAAAGAGTTAGCCAGATCTCAGAGGTTCTTGTAATCTAGTGAAGGCATTACTTTGCTATAAGAGCTAAAAGAATTTTTAGTTTGTTAGGAATGGGAGAAAAAAGAGAGATAAAAAATGACCGCAAATGTTTGGTTTAGACAATTTTGAATGGAGTGCCACTTACTAAAATGAGGAAACCTAGGAGATAAACCAGTTTAGATTGAGGGTTATGTAAAAGAAATTTGGTGTATATTATAGCCTGAATGTTTGTCTCTTACAAATTCATATATTGAAGCCATATCCTCAATGTGATGGTATTTGGACATGGGGTCTTTAGTAGGTAATTAGGGTTAGATGAAGTCATAAGGATGGGGCCCGCAGGAAAAGATTTGTGCTCTTATAAGAAAAAAAACAACAGAGAGCTGTGTTCTGATACCCCCACTCCACTGTGAGAGGACACAAGTAGGTAGCTGTCTATAAACGAGGAAGAGAGTCCTTTCTGGGAACTGAATCAACCAACACTTTAATCTTGGACTTCCCACATTTAAAACTGTGAGAAAATACATTTCTATTATTTAAGCCACCGAGTCTATGGCATTTTGTTATAGGAGCCTAAGTAAACTAATACAACATATGTTAAATTTGAGGTATCTTTTTTTTTTTTTTTTTTTTTTTTGAGTCAGAGTTTCACTCTTGCCCAAACTGGAGTTCAGTGGAATGCTCACAGCCACTGGAGCTTCAACCTGCTGGGCTCAGACGATCCTTCTACCTCAGTCTTCCAAGTAGCTAAAACTACAGGCATGCACCACTATGACAATCCACTTTTTTTATTTATTGTGGAGACGAGGTCTGACCAAGTTGCCCAGGCTGCTCTTATACCCCTGGACTCATGCAATCCTCTCACCTCTACCTTCCAAAGTACTGGGATTACGGGCATGAGCCACTGCACCCAGTTTGAGGTGTCTTCTATACATTAAGTAGAAAGTTGAGTGTATGATTCTGGAGTTCAGGGAAGAGTTGGGTCTATTACAAGTGTGGTAGTCATAAGTCATTACAGATAGCATTTGAAACCATCTTGAGCCGGGCACAATGGCTCAAACTTGCAATACCAGCACTTTTGGAGGCTGAAGTGAGAGGACTGCCTGGGCAATATGGTGAGACTTCATCACTAAAATAAACCAAAAAATTAGCCGGATGTGGTGGTATGCCTGTAGTCCCAGCTACTTGGAAGGCTGAGGTAGAGGGATCACCTGAGTCCTGCAGGTTAAACTGTAGTAGCCATGATTGTGCACTGCATTTTAGCTAGGCGACAGAATGAGAGTTCAAATAAATAAATAAATCTAAAATAAAATTTTTTTAAAAAAACCAACTTGAAAGGACATTGCTTAAGTCTGCTTTGTGTTTAAATGGAATCAGTAAGTTGTGCTTGCTTTCTAATTACTTAAAAAATTCTCAACGAGTTTTATCTGCTTTTTTCTCACCTTACTTGGTTTTGTACATTGTGACTCATTTAGTACTTTCTACTCACTTCTAGATATAGTTCTTCCACAATTACTCCTACTGCTTGTCTTTTTTAAATTCACTGAGTCAAATCTCGAGGTCCCAAATTATGCAACTATTGTGCCCAGTACTGAGTACCCTACTACTGGACTAGCTAAAGCCTCATTTCTCTCTGTCCTGTTTATTATATGACAAAAGTTGCTACAAAGCCAAATATATACATAGGTCACCAAACAACAGTTTGAACAGGTCTGTTAAGGTTTATAACTATTGTCCTGGAATAATTATTAATAGCACTCCTTTTCACTTTCTAAAGTGTACTGGGGGTTTGAGCAACGACTTTTATGGCTGTGTTATAAATAGTAGATATTTATCCACAGTTTCACTATTTTAGTGCCAGCTGTTTATGTTAATTGACACAACATTGTTCTATGATTGTGTCACACACAGTTGAATAAAAAAAGTCATTTTTAAAGAATAAGTATTCTTAAGTGCTCCTAATGTTCATTAAAATTAATTATATATTGGCAAACGGAAACAAATATGAAATTCAATAAAAAAGTCTTATTAACCATATAACAAAGACATGTTTTAAAATTAAATGTTAAAAAGCCCTACAAAAGCATAAAATTTAATGTAACAATAATGATTTAATATGAAAAATGATGATGTTTTGCAGAAATTAAATATCTTTTCAGAATATAACTATACTACTTAGGCAGTTTTGCTTGGTTTTCCCAGAAACTATTGTCTTTTTTTTTTGAGTTGGAGTCTTTCACTTTGTTGCCCAGGCTGGAGTGCAGTGGCACACTCACGGCCACCGCAACCTTGACCTGCTGAGCTCAGGCGATACTTCTGCCTCAGCTTTCCAAGTAGCTGGAGCTACAGAAGCTTGCCACCATGCCCCACTAGTTTTTTGCCATTTATTGTAAAGACGAAGTCTCAACAAGCTGTCCAGGCTGATCTTGAACCTCTGGGGCTTAGACAATTCTCTTACCTTGGCCTCCCAAAGTGCTGGGATTACAGACTAAGCCACCATGCCTGGTCACTATCTGTTTTTAAATAACCACGATGGTTGGATCCAGTAGTTCATACCTGTAATCCCAGCACTTTGAAAGGCTGAGGCAGGAGAAATGCTTGAGGTCAGGAGTTCAAACCCAGTCTGGGTAATATAGCGAACCCTATCTCTATAAATCTTTTTTTTTTTTTTTTTAATTAGACAGCAGGTAGTCCAAGCTATTCAGGAAACTGAGGCAGGAGAAGTCTTTGATTTCAAGACTTTGAAGATACAGTGAGCTCTGATGGCACCACTGTACTCCAGTCTGGGTAACAGAGCAAGACCTATCTCTAGGGCAAATAAGTAAATAAATAAATAATAAATAGCAGCTTTATTTTCATAGAGCACAGCGTGGCATCTTTGGCCTTCATTTGGTATGAAAACATTGCTTCATTATTAAATCTGTCTTTGTTCCTTTCTCATTATTGATGAGTAAATTTGTGTTATGTGGTTTCTTTTTTACTATAGTGAAAATGTTGGCACTAAAATCATTTAGAAGACCTTGATTTTATGATGGTTTTCCAGATGGCCAGAATATGCCTGTATTAATTTATTTAGTATAATTTTACCAAAATGAAAGCATAATATTTGAAAAGTATTGTAGACCTCTAAGGAGAAATTTTTGGAACCTCAGAAATCTATGAATTTCTATTTGTAACATGTCACTAGAGGATTTTATGCAATAAGAATAATTTATGTAATATATACAAATGACCGATAAATATAATTATTTTTTCTCACTAGGTAGCAAAAAAATGAAAATTAGAGCAGGTGATAATTATTAGTATTGAAGGGGTTCAGGGGAAAATGTTGTTACCTTTGTACACTGCTCTTGGGATTTTAAGTAGGTTCAACATTTCTTGAAAGCAAATCAATCAAGTGTATTAAAAACACAAAAATATGTATATCCTTTGACTAAATTGCTTCCACTTCTAGAAACATATCCTGAGAACATACTTAATAAAATTCACATGGATACATCAATTAGCATAGTGCTTAGCACATAGTATGTACTTGATAATTGTTTATACATACACACACACACACCATGCAGGTACTTGTGTCAGTCAGTGTGCTAGGTGCTGGGTATAAAATGATGACAAGTCTCTGCTCACAAAAAAGTCTGCTCACAGTTTAGTCATGAAGATGTATTAAAAATCATATAAACATGGAATAACTTGACAAGTGCCATGTGTAAGGGAGTGCCATGTGATCACACCTTTAATAGAGGAGTTAGCATGGTCAAAGAGATCAAAAATAACTCAGGAAGGGCTGAAAGCTGAATGATGGACAGGAACTAACCAGAAGAGGGGAGAAAGCAGTTTTTAAGCAGAGATGTGGTATATGCAAAGTTTTTAAGGTGGGAAGAACCATGATGGGTATAAGAATCTGACAGGAGACCATTGTGACTAGAATAGCAGTGAAAGGAAAAATGTGATATGCGATGAGACAGGAGGCATAAGAAAGTACCAGAGTTCAATTTCTTTTTTCTTTTCTTCTTTTTTTTTTTCAGAGTTTTTTTCTTATTCTCAAATACTAATTTTTCTTTTAAAAACTTAAAAGAATTAACAGTAGCAAATATCTGTCGGGGGATGGGAAAACACTTCTTATCTACAGGGTGCCTGAATGAAACGTCATTGTACACCTAACCCTTAACTGTACCCCACAAAACCATAATAAAAAATACTGATTAATGAAAAAAAAAAAAAAAACTTAAAAGATTTTAGTTTGGACAGAAATGTCTTTTAAAAAGATCAATTCAACTGTGTGGAGGAAAGTAGATCCTGAAGTATTTATTAAAAGAATGGATTATTATATTATGTTCTTACAGTAATGTTTACAATAATGAAAAATGTAAAATAGCCCAACTATACAATGTTTATTTATTTAAATGGATTTTAGTATGTTCACACAGTAAAATATTTTGAATTTGGTAAAAATTATAATACTTAGAAGTTTATCTATTGGCATGAATAATTGGCCTCAATATATTAAAGGAAGAAAGCATTTGACGATAAAATATCATGTTTTAAATCTCAGAATGGCATGGTTCTCATGACAAAATATAGCTTTCATAAAATAGGGGACAAATGCAGGTCTGGATCACAAGAAAGAATAAACTTGGCAGTTATTGAGCTAATTTGTGAACTTTTCAAAAAGGCAACATAAAACAAACTAATAATCTGTGCAGCTCTAATGTATTAGCAGACCCAGTTTGGAAGTTTGATTTTTATTGCTCCATAGAAGAATAAAGAAGCACAGGAAATTAGGGATCATCAATACAAAAATCATTTGGTTGAATAAATAAATGTGCAATTTTGTTAGGAGATCCTTTTTTCCATAAAACCGCCCTGTCTGAGCACCCTCAGAAGAAAAATAAAAAGAAGAATGCAACAATATGACTTCAGAATAAATAAATACTAGAAGAATTTCAAAACAGAATGAAGCCTTACTTTGAACTACCCAATCTTCTTGAGACTGCAAATTGTGCAGGAATAGGGAATAGTTTCTCTCATGAGTTTTCTTCCAATCAGGAAGAAAATATAACACGAGCTTTTCTCATGGATTTCAACATATCTAATCATATATCTGTTGGCAATCTAGAAGAGAAGAAACATGAAAAATTCATAAAGAATTTATGTACATAGTATGCTCAGTTCAATTTCTATTTTATACAAAATTTTTAAAACAAAGATTATTTTGATGTAATAATTCACATTGTAAATCACAGTGTATAAATGTAACTAACATAAATCACTGTCTGTATTACTCTGTCATGTTATTTTGCTAAATGTTTTCAATATAGTAAAGTTTTCCCATTTTTTTCAGTACAGGGTTGTTTTTCATTACATCTCTTTTCTGTGTCTTCATATTTCATAATATATTTCAGAGAGTGAAAATATGTCATTACTGATATAACAGACTCTCTTTAAGTAAACTTTGATACAAATTCAAACTTTGAGTTTAGAATTTGATTGGGGTAATATCAGAAGTAAGGCAATACTGAGAAGTACAGATTGTTACAAACTCAGTCTTTGGAGGAGAAAAAGCCTGGGTTTGAATCACTTATTCACCACTTATAAGCAGTTTCACCCTGGGAAATTTAGGTAAATTCTCCAAATCTATTTCAGGTCATGTCACCTACCCTATTAAAAACCCTTCAAAGACTCTTCATTCCACTGACAATAAAATTCAAAGTCTTTAAAATTGCTCATGAGTTTGAAATGATCCTGTCCCATGACTCCACACCCGGCCAGGACCAAGAGATTTATTAAAGCTGTAACGGGAAAAAAGAAAAAGAGAGAGAAACAGAGACCAAGAGAGAGAAACAGAGACCAAGAGAGAGACAAGAAGAAACCGAGAGAGAGAAATAGAGACAGAGAGAGAGAGAGAGACCGAGAGAGAGAGAGAGAGAGAGAGAGAGAGAGAGAGAGAGAGTGTGTGTGTGTGTGTGTGTGTGTGTGTGCGTGCTCGGGGAATTGTGCTAGCAAAGGCCAGGACCCAGGGCCTTTGTTGTCAGGTGTGTCGGCACCATTTTGGGAGCCGCCCCTCTGGTCGCTTCCTGCACCTTTCATCTTAGGCACTTGTACATGTTCTTCCTTGAGCCTGAATGCTTTCTTTCCCTCTTTCCAATGACAGTCCAACCCATCCATAAACAATTATGCAGTGCTTTCTAAATATTCATTTAATTGCTACTAACATGTGAAGATAACACCAGGTGTCTATTGACCCTGCAAAGACACTTAACAATAATGAATCCTAAACTGGGATATTACCAACAGCACATTGTGCACCAGGAGAATTGTGTATGCAATGCTCTTTAATGTTACTGTCAACAATCTCATTCCTCAGGCGCTCAGATTTGAGTAATAAATGTGGTCACTGATTGGACATAATGAAAATGTCAGTGGTGGCTACCTAGATGCATCAGCTTGAATCAATGATCAGAAAAGATAGTTGTAAATACATTTTTTTAAAAAAACTTCTTTTTAAAACAGAATTTTAATTTTTCTGGTTTTGCAATGTATTGTATATTATTATATTGAATAACTCCTTAATCAGTCAATCATTTAAATATGCTATTAAAAGCAAGAAGTGACTACATTAGTTACTTTACAACTGTGAAGAAAAGATCCGTAAGATTTTCTAGATTCAGCAGCTTTGATGTTGCTGAACCCCTAAACTAATGCACTAATGCCAGTAATTGTCTATCTACAGACTTGTGACTATTTGTGTCTTAGTTTATTAGGCTGCTATAACAAAACACCTTAGACTGGGTAATTTACAAGGAAGGATTCCAAAAAAAACCAGAATTATTTTTTGGAGGGCAGCCCTCCCGTAGTACAGGCTTTCCCTGCTAGGTATGTTTTCTAGGAACCCATCAGCTTCAGTGTACCAGCTAGCATTGTTCTGAGTGGTTGCATTTGGTTTCAGTTAATTTTTTTGATTTGGAGATTCTTTCAATGTATTTGCCCACTTCATAATGGGTGATTTACAAGAACAACCTTCCCACACTGTGCTGAGTTTTGTTTTGTTTTGTTTTGTTTCCCAGGATGAAAAAATCCTCAAAAGGAAACCTTTTTCAGTGTGGAAGAGGTAAAACAAAAAAACAGCAGAAGCACTAAAAGGCATCAAAATTGACAAATTCAAAAATTGTTTTGAGCAGTGGAAAAAGCATCTTGATAGGTGTATTACATCAAATGTAGAGTACTTTGATGGAGACTGAAGTTGAAACATATAAGAACACACACTTTTTTATAAATAAATTACAAGTTTGGGGGAATTTCCCCCATATAAACAATAGAAATTTATTTCTCACAGTTCTGAAGGCCAGGAAGTCCAAGATCAAAGCACTGGCAGATCTGGTGTCTGTAAAGAGCTCACTCTCTGCTTCAGAGATGGTGCTTTTCTCACTGCACCCTCACAAGATGGATGGGGGAAGCACTGTGTCTTCACATGGTGAAAGGGTCAAGGCAGCTCCCTTTAACTGCTTTCATAAATGGCATTAATGCCATTCATGAAAGGAGAGCTTCCATGACTTAATCACTTCCCAAAAAACCCCACCTCTTAATGCCACCACAATGGAGATAAGCTTTCAACATGAATTTTGGAGGGTCACATTCAGATCATAGCGCTATGAGTGAAAAATAAAGCACTATTTTTCTAAACCCTTGTAAATCTTGTTTGCTATTATATACATGTGAAATCATTCCTGGATGATTCAATTAGTAAATCAATTTCATCAAAGCACAAGATCTATCTCAATCAATTCACTCTGGCACCTTTGCGGTTTATTCAATTTGTATTATATTTTATTTGTGAATTAGCTTTTGGTTTCTTTTTTTTTTTTAATAAGAACCAGAAGAGTAAGACATTTAAATGTTGTTATATAAAGAAAGTTATGCTTTACTCAAAACTAGAGCATTAGGCTCTGAACTGGAGTGAACATTTGTAGAGTAAGAAGAACATTGGGCCACTAAGCAGATGACCACATTCTGCACCCTAGTTTTACTGCAATCAGTCATGGGGTTTAAGGATGTCAGTCCCCAATATCTGGGTTGTGCTCTTCATATGGAGAATATAAGGTACACAAGATGATCTATTGGGGTAGGAGAGAAAAACATAACTTCATTATTTTCAAATCATTATACACTTTTGTGTACATATTATTTTGCATATATGTTTTATAACAGCATACTATATTAGTAGTATATAGATATACTTTGGAATATATACTCATAATGTTTTTACTGATAAAAAATGTATGATCTGAAAATTTTGAAGACACTCTCATAGTTCTTTCATCTTTAAATTGCAGAGATTTGTGCCTTTTTGGACCCACTTCACAGCGTCATGGAGTTTCTCTGAAAGTGGTTAGGATGTAGAAGAAGCTTGGGAAATGGGAAGTTTGAGGAAATTCAGTCTGCTAGAGTCTGCCCTACTAGCTTTTTTAAAACTCTCTTTATTCGTTAGACCTCCGAGTTGTATTTTTTCTTTTTCTTTTTTTTTTTTTTTTGAGTTGGAGTCTCACTCTGTCGCCCAGACTGGAGTGAAGTGGCCGCTCCTGGCCACCGCAGCCTCGACCCGGCAGCCTCGACCTGCCGGGCTCCGGCGATCCTTCCACCTCAGTCTTCCGAGTACCTGGAATTACAGGTGCGCACTACCACGCCCGGCTAATTTTTGATTTATTGTAGAGATGAGGTATCGCCAAGTTGCCCGGGCAGGTCTCAAACCTGCGGGCTCAGACAATCCGCTCACCTCAGCCTCCCAAAGCACGGGATTACAGGCTGAGCCACCGAGCCCGGTTGAGTTGTATTTTTTTTTTTTAAGGTAGACCTAGCATTTTATTTAGATCTTCATTAAACCGTTGGAAGTGAGAACCAGACATACGTAATAAACCTCCAAAAATAGATCCTGAAAGGCACTTTCTGCGTAGGGTGAGCAGTCATGGAATAAGCGTGTAAACAAGCTGGCTTCTCTGTACTACACCAGCCAAGTCAGCTTTCTCCACGGTCAGCCACACCCACTCTACCCTCCCTTCTGTGAACACCAGCCAGACCCCCAGTAGGTCTAACCCAAGACTTTTCTGTAGGACACCTTGACCTACCTGGGAATGCTGGAAGCATGTTATTAAAGGAATCATGGTTTTGAGAGAAAAGAAATCTTTTAAAAGCTGCCATCTGAGGTGACGGCTTCTCTGTACTTACGCCATACCCCAGATTACAATAAATAAGCAATTAGAAAACATTCAAGTATGAAGGGGTTTTCTCCTCCCCGCCAAAAGCGCTGCTCTCTGAAGGAAGCTGGTTTCTCTGTAGCTACACCAGCTGTTCAGAAAGCTCATTGGACTTGGTTTTGAAAATAAAACAAAGTTAAGACCCTGAGAGGAGTTATTGTGCAGCGTGGAGTACTTATGCTTTCTTATAAGGAAAAAAAAGTTATCTGGTACCAAAGTGTGCAACCTACAGACCCTCAGGTACTGCCCTGTGACTTCTCTGTATGACATCACAAGGTGCCAAGTGCCTGTTTGTCTAGAGCTAGGAGTTGGCAAGGTTTGGCTAGTGCTGAAACCATGCATAGGACTGGTTTACTAAATAAAAACCTTATTACGTACGTCCTCCAAAAGACAGCGGAAATGGAGATTGATTTGGTGCTGTTGAAGAGGTGGTAATTAAGAGCATAAACACCAGGGAGGTGGTTTGATGGTAACTGCCTTTTTTTGATGTCAGGCTAGAGCTCCAACTGGAAACTTGTGCTACATGCAAGACTGATTGGATAGGGAACACTCCCTGACAAAGCTACATAATTAGAAATGGGGTCAAGTTACAGGGAGCATAAGGGGAGGGCTTCACATTCATAATAGAGCTCAAGACATTACAAACTCATGCTGACAGGGCTGTGGCATTGCCAGGCAGGCTATAGTGGAACTACAAGTACTTTACATGCACGTTACAAGGACATTTTTTCAGCATTGGTGGGAAAGTCAATGTAATTAGGACTTTGGTGTATTGGGTGATAGGGCACAAAGGTTCAATCTCAAAGCATCACTTACTACAGTGTTGTTTGTTTCTAGGCAGTTACATGGATCACCTATGCTCACTAAATTCATCATAATGGTGAACAAAACACCTAGGGACAGAATAGCAAGCCCAACTTACTGTCCCTCACGAAAGCTAAAATTCATGTCATTGACTAGAGTGACTGCAACTGATCAGGAGCTGAAAGAGAACAGGAAAATTTAACAAGAAGGGCCCCTTCCCTCAGAGCTTAAAGGCTTCTCTGTAGCCTACGCCAACAAGTCTGAGGGAAAAAGGCTAACACTTTCAATATTTAAGCTTTTGGGGCAATTCCCATGGGAAGCTGTCCCTACCAAAGTGGCCATAGGTTGCAGTCCTCTGATAAATTGGCTTCTTCAGATCCAGATCCCTGACAATGACCCCAGGGTGGAGATCAAAATTCTTCTTCATAATAGCTCTCTCTCACTCTTCTGTACCATAATGGAAAATGGAGATAGACAATGGATGAGAAACTCCAATAGCATAAGAGACCTGAACAAGAACCCTCCTGCACAGACCTCTTTAACAAGGGACTTTGCCACCCAACGAGCAGCATAAGCAGCGAAAAGGTCCACCTTGGTATAATCCTTTTCCGAAAAGGCACCTCCTCTATGAGCTCCCCAGCCGCCATAAGTGTCCACAGTGATTTTCTGGCCAAACCAGCATCACCCTGAGGCCCACCAATAATAAATCTGCCACTAGGCTACAGATGGTAGATTGTGTCCTCATCGAGATATTTTGCAGGCACCACAGCTTTGATGACCCTTTCCTTTAGGGCATCCCTCATCTCATCGAGACAAACTTCTTCATCATGCTGAACAGATATAACAATTGTGTGGACTCTAATAGGAAGCACAGCACCTCGATCCTGCATATACTGCACGGTCACTTGAGTTTTCGAATCAGGGCGTAACCAAGGCAAAGTGCCATTGCGGCGCAGTTCTGCCAGTTTGACATTGAGCATGTGTGCCAAGACAATGGTTAAAGGCATACATTCCTCAGTTTCATCAGTGGTATAGCCAAACATCAAGCCCTGGTCTCCAGCGCCAATGTCTTCTTCATTCTGGTCAAGATGAACACCTTGGGCAATATCTGGTGACTGCTGCTCCAGGGCCACCAACACATTACAAGTCTTGTAGTCAAACCCTTTGGATGAATCATCATATCCAATGTGTTGAATGGCTTCACGAACCACTTTCTGGTAGTCAACAGCAGCTCTGGATGTAATTTCTCCAGCAAGAAGGATCATTCCGGTCTTAGCAACAGTTTCGCAAGCCATTTGGCATCAGGATCCTGCTGAAGGTGGGCATCAAGGACAGATCGCTGATCTGGTCACAGATCTTATTTGGGTGGCCTTCCTCCATGAACTTGGAGGTGAAGAGGAAGGTGCCCGCCTCGATGAACGCCTCGTGGAAGCCGTTGAGCTGGCCGTGCATGCTGGTGGCGGCGGGCAGTGCGGGAGGAAGGGCGGCAGCGGCGAGACGCGACAGCGGGGACTGCGTTCCACTCGGGGCGGGATAGAATCACAGTAAAAGGTGTATTATGAGAGGTCCCTAAAATTACCTACATGAAGTCCCACATTCACCAGTGCCATATTTTAATGAAATCTTTCATTATCACCCTGATCTAGTTATATTCTATAAGTCTTAATTTTAAAGTTGGTCAATGCAACTGATGGCTTTGCAGCTTCATTTCAAATAAGACTACAACCAGATTTTGGGAGCATATTTTAAAAGTATTGGGCAGCCTAGTCGTTAAATGCCTGGATGTTCTTGATGAGAATCGGGCGTAGGCCCAATTGCTTCATAAATAAAGAGAGGCATGTCATTATAAGCTATTTCACTTGTTTTCCATTTTATCCTGAGGAAGTAAACACAGATACAATATTTCTTGGATTTTTCCTTCTCCACCCATTTCATTAGAATCAACCCAAGCTGTACATGTAATCTAAAAGAAATAGTTTGCAGTTGCATGTCTGGTCAAGATTTTCTGCCAAGTTGTTGCCTTAATACAAAGAAACAAGAGAGAAAATAAACTAATAATATGACTATTACCAGAGGCGATTCTGAATCATTTCCAAATTGGTTAATCTGTTCAAGATTTCAAAGTCAGTAGGCACACATGTAAACTCTTTTTCATATAATGCCTTTTTCACAATGATTGTGCTGGCAAATTAAAGGGCAAAGAAGGTATGGATGCACTTGTAATTTATCATAGCTTCCCATAGTAATCATAGTAATAAGCATGGCTTTGTTCTTTAATGAAGGGTTGGGTGCACAGTGGGAAAAAATGAATTCTGTCTGTCTCTGTACCCACCTGTGGGAGTCATTGTTTCTTGACAGAGAAACTTTTGCAATCAGTTTTATACTTTCCAAAGATAATTATATCTCTCCTCATCATATATATTTTTTTCCCTCTTTGGCTAGATTTGAACACCAAAATCCAATGGTAAATGAACTTTGTCTATGAAACAACACATTTTTCCTTATATAGGAATATATGATTGTTTTTGTATTCTCTTTGTCTATGAAACAACACATTTTTCCTTATATAGGAATATATGACTGTTTTTGTATTCTCAATCAGCCTGAAAGCCTCAATAAAGTTGGTGTAAAATTTAGATGCTCTATAGTAAAGGAGACAACAGAAAAAAAAAAAAGCTTTATTGCTGTTATCTAGAAATGTGCCATTGTAGGCAGAGCCCTTAAGGGTTGTGTAAGTATGTTGTGGTTGGGGTGTGTGTGTGTGTGTGTATGTGCGTGTGTGTGTGTGTGTGTGTGTGTGTGTGTGTGTGTGTGTGTGTGTATGTGTAGAGAAAGCCAGGGGCCCAGAAGTGCCTCACGTTTAGATTTTAATATTAACAAAATATTCAGAGATATAACCAGAGAAGCCTAGACACACACTGAAAATTTGGTGAGAGATATTTACCTTGTAATTTTTACTTTTAACGGCTCACAATATTTCAAATGCTATTTAGCATTTCTTAACTTTTTAACTCTCTGGAGAGCTTTGAATATAGAAAGGTCTTGGCACTTATTAAACTTTCAGAGACTCTAATTATGGACATATTTGTTGTATCTTAAATATGTAATGCCTGATTTTCTACATTTTGACTCAGAAATTATAACTGTCCAAAATTTCATGTACACAGGAAAGATGATTCTGCTGGGTTCTTTTTTTTTTGAGTCGGAGTCTTACTCTGTCACCCGGGCTGGAATGCAGTGGCAATCTCACGGCCAATGGAGCATTGACCTGCTGGGCTCAGACTATCCTTCCACCTCAGCCTTCCAAGTAGCTAGAATTACAGGCTGGTGCCACCATACCTGGCTAATTTTTTTATTTATTGTGGAAAGGAGGTCTCACCAAGTCACCCACATTGGTCTCCAATCCCCAGACTCAGACGATTCTCTCACCTGTGCCTCCCAAAGTGCTGAGATTACAGGCGTGAGCCCACATGCCTGCCTTGTTTTTTTTATATTTTTCCTTTCAATGGGCCTAGTAAAAGAGGTTAAGAATAAGGAAGAGAAGCAGAAATAGAGTTGGAGGAAGAATTGGCATCACTGATGACAACAGACATCACTCAGTGCCTTGATTGCTTTGCTTTCTTAGAGGAAATATAGTTTCAACTCATGTAACTGACTCTAAATGTCTGTTACTCTCTTTGAATAGGAAAAGTTGTAAACATTTATTTTTTTTTTATTTTATTTTAAAGATGTAGGGTACAAGTCAGGATTAGGTACATAAGTGGTCATCGTCCAGGTGAAGTTTGAGTCTTCCATTAGTTCTCATTTCACCTGGCTTAAGATCAGGTACCCGCATTGCTGTTATGTTACTCCCTCCCCTAGCAGTGTCCCACTACTGCCAATCCCTTTCTTGTAGTATTTTGATAAATTTTCAGGGTCCACTTATGAGTGAGAATATGTGGTACTCTGTTCTTTGTTTCTGTGATAGATCTCTGAGTATGATAGACTCTAAAAACATTCAAGTTTCTGTGAAGTTCATAATTTTGTCCTTCTTCCTGGCTGCATAATAGTCCATTGTTTAGATGTACCAAATTGTTTTTAATCCAGTCCAGTTTCAATGGGCAGCACAGTTGGTTCCATGCTTGTGAATAGTACTGCAATAAACCTGTGTACGCAGGTATCATTTTAAAAAATGATTTGAGTTCCTCCAGGTATATTCCCAGAAGGGGGTTTTCTGGAGCATATGAAAGGAAAATTTCTAGATCTTTTAGAAATCACCATACTGTTTTCCACAGAGGATGTACTTATTTACACTCTTACCAATAGTGTAGAAGCATTCCCCTTTCTTCACATCCTCTCCTCCTCACAGCATCTGTTGGTTTTGGGTTATTAATGATGGCCATCCTGACTAGAGTTAGATGGTATCTCAGTGTGGTTTTAATAAGCATTTCTCTGTTGATTAATGAGGTTGAGCACTTTTTCATGTGTTTGTTGGCTACCCATATCTTCTTTTGAGAAGTGTCTATTTATGTCTTTTAATCACTTTTAATGCTGCTGTTGATTTTTTTCCTTTTGGCATGTTTAAGAGTCTTTTAAATCTTAGATGTTAGACCTTTGTCATATATACCATTGGCAAATATTATTTCCCATTCTGTGAGCTGTCTCTCCACTCTCTTGATGGTTTCTTTTGCTTTGCAAAAGCTTTTCAGTTTGATGAGGTCCCACTTGTCTATCTTATCTCTTATGTCATGATCTTTTGGGGTTATGATCAGGAATTGGTTGCTTATTCCCATATCTATAAGGATGTCTCCTGTGTTTTCTGAGATTTTTATAGTTCAAGGTTTTATATTTAGGTCTTTGATCCTTTTAGAGATTATTTTTGTGTATGGTGATAGGTAGGAGTCCTGTTTAATTCTTCTGCATGTGGTCAGTCAGTTTTCCCAGCACCATTACCAGAATAGGTTCTTCTCTCCCCAGTGGTTGTTGGTGGAGGAGTTGGTTGAGAAATTGAGGTTTTGCTTCCAGAATCTCTATCCTGTTCCATTGGTCTATATGCTTTTTCTTGTACCAATACCAGGCTGTTTTGGTTATTGTAGCCTTGTAATAAAATTTAAAGTCTGGAAATATAATACCTCCCACTTTGTTTATTTTGCTAAGGATTGTTTTGACTATTCATGGTCATTTACGTTTCCATATGAATTTTTTATTGTCATTTCCAGGTCTGAGAAGAATGATGTTGGTAATTTAAGGGGTATTGCATTGAATCTGTGGATTCTTTGATAGGATGAACATCTTATCAATGTTGATTCTTCTAATTCATGAGCATGGAATATGTGTCTTCTTTGATTTCTTTGAGCAGTGTTTTGTAGTTTTCATTGTAAAGGTCTTTCACTTCTCTGGTTAGAAAGAAGCCAAGGCATTTCTCTTCTTTTTCTTTCTTTCTTTCCTCTTTTTTTTGGGGGGGGGCAGCTATTGTGAATGGGATTGTACTTTTTACTTGTTTTTCTGCCTGTTTATTGTTGGTGTATAAAAATACAGTTGTCTTTTGCGCATTGGTTTTGTGCCCTAAGACTTTGTCAAAGTTCTTTATCAGTGCAAAAAGATTTTTGACAGATTCCTTTGGGTTTTCCAGGTATAGGATCATATCATCAGCAAAGGGGGATAGCTTACCTTCCAGTTTTCCTATTTGGATATCCCTGATTTCCTGCTCTTGTCAGATTGCACTTGCTAGGATTACCAACACTATGTTGAAAGAAGGGTAAGAGTGGGCAGTCTTGTCTTGTTCCAGTTTTCAAGGGAAATGTCTCCAATTTCTGTCCATTTGGCAATATGCTGGCTGTGGTTTTATCATAGATGGCTCTTACTATTTTGAGGTATTTTCCTCTATGCTTAGATGTTCAAGGGTTTTTATCGAGAAGGGATGCTGGATTTTGTCAAAAGCTTTTTGTGTCTAATGATAAAATCATGTGGTTCTTTTAAGCCTACTTGGTCATGCTGGATGAGTTTTGAGATATGTTGTTGATACTGATTTGCTAGAATCTTGTTGAGAATTTTTGCATCTATGTTCATCAGGGATATTGGCCTGCAGTTATTTCTTTGTTGGGTCTTTTCCTGGTTTGGGTATCAGTGTGATGTTAGCTTCAGAAAATGAATTGGGAAGAGTTCAATCTTTCTTGGTTGTCTGGAATACTTTCAATAGGATTGGTATCACTGCCTCCTTGTATGTTTCATAAAATTCTGCGGGAAATCCATCTGGTCCAGGGCTTTTTTTTTTTTTTTTTTTTTGTAGTTAGTTTTCTCATGATAGAGTCAATTTACTAGGTTGTGATTGGTCTATTTAGGATCCCAATTTCTTCTTATTTCAACCTTGGGAAGTTGTATGTAGAAAGTCCTCCATTTCATTTAGGTTATTGAGTTTGTTTCCATATAGGAGTGCATAGTAATCACTGATAATCTTTTTGTGTATCTTTGAG